ACTTTACCCACTGACAAGCGCACTGAAAACGCTATATTTTCATTAGACTAAAAAAATTAGTTCACAAGTTCACCAACTTCAAACCGTTGCAACATTATGAGTGCTTTTCTGGTAATTTCTCACCGATATTATAGTTCTCTTTGGGTCCTCCTTGGTGATGTCTACCTTGGAATTTGATCTAGCAGATATTTCATTGTACAAATTGATAAATTGATAAATCAATGCATAAAATTAAAACTAGAAAAATCCCTCTTCTTGTGATATATTTCAAAGCATTTACATTTCCTGTTTTACTTCCAACTGTAATAACTTCTCTTGTGTGACAACATTGTATGGCAAACCAAACATGACATAAGTAGGTTGAGTTTAAAGTTACCTATCAAGTTTCACTGATTGATATCTGAGATTGGGAAATTACTTCATGAGATTTAGAAATCACTGTATGAGAATGAAAAATTGTCATGCCACATCATTTTAAATTACCAATTGAAAATGAAAAAACATTAATGACATGTAGAGGCCACAGTGGGAAGCCATTGCAGGAATGCTGTTATACGGTTACTAATGGACAAATTACTTCTCATTAAATTTGTCACATCTTGTGGCCGTGTCTTCACGGGGATGATGTTATAACTTTAGAGGCTTTGATGAAAAGCTTTTAAAATAGACAATTTGTAGCTACAGAAGATAGAGAGGCATTGGACAAATTCCTTGGTGATAATTTTAAATCAAATGGTGAAGATTTCTTGGACTTTCTTACATCATTGAAGTGTTCTAAAGCACCAAGTAAGAACAACATTGAAGCCATAATCTTTGAGCTTGCCCATCAGAAACTTATGCAGAAGCCAAGATACGAGATCAAACGTTGGAGTCCAGTTCTCATGGTATTTCACTCTGAGAACTTTCAGTCCCTTGAGAAACTTGACATCTTTTACCAAAGCAAAGAGCCAACAGCCAAGAAAATAAACAAGTTATTCTGAGCTGAGCCAGCAAATGGAGCAGAAGATACATCCTTTGAACACCTGAGAGAGTAAAATATAAAGTCACTGAATGGCAAATCTCTATCCATTTTCTTATGGTTCTGCACTGGTAGTGATGCGATCGCTGCACAAAACATTGATGTGCACTTCACTAACCTTTAAAGGTTGCAGTAATGTCCAATTGCCAGAATATGTGGACCATTGCTAAAGCTTCCAACTAATACATATGAATCATACCCAGCACTGGTTGAGTTCACTAATGTAAAGATGTAAGAAGAGCAAGCCTTTTTTTTAACTTTGTTTCGTATGAAAAATGTCAACAATTTGAAATGAACTCTTTGAATGCATTAAAATTAACACTTGAAGCAGTTTGAATTTGTTTCTTAGTGTTACAGTTTTCATATTATGCATAAAATTTTCAATTTACTGGTATAAGGATTGTTGTAACACAGAATACAAAGTCAAAATTTATGGCATTTTGATTAGCTTGGTTACAAGTTAGAACACCTGTCAACAAGGATGTAAAATTTGCTAGCTGCAAGACTTCCAACTCAAAATTAAACTAATTGACATGGTTTAGGTCAGTTTGCACTCTTATTGACAACAACATTTGTCATCACAGTGGTCAAATATTGTGGACTCACCCAGCTGGGCCTCCTGAGTCCATAGACCACCCTTAACCATTGTCAGTTTGTATTTCACTACAATGTTGATGCAAAGTGAAATGATTCTTTCATTGCACGACTATTGTGTAACAGGTTGATGTGAGCAGGGTTGTTCGTACTCTTGTCAACAACCGCAAATTGGCCAATCAGATTGTGACATTACTGCTAATTGGAGTAAGAAACGATTTTATCAGCTGATCTTTTATATTTCTAACATCAATAAATTGTGAGTTGACTTTATTAATATCAGTCCTGTAAGAGGTCATTACCCAACATGATATTGGAATGGGACAACTAGGGGTAAGAAGTGATATGTTGCTTTTATTACCAGTAGGTGCCTGCATAGGAAGATATAAATACCTGAATTTCAAATTGCACAAAATACTGCATTGGTTTTAATGCACTACTTACTCCACCAGGCAAATGCATCTACAAGTGTGAAAATGGTTTGATGATAAATCAGTGAAAATTACAGCATTCCATCAATATTATAACCGCCAAAACTCAACCATACTTGAAGTTATTGTTAAGGGGTTAACCATAGCAGTAACAGCAATTAAAAAATTTCATTACCTTCATTCTCAATGTCCAGACACATCATGAAGCTTATAAATTTTCTTCATCTCGAAATGTTCAGTGCGACTTTGTAGTTACTGAAAAAAAAAGAACCATTTCATTAAACAAGCTTCTAACACAACAGCATTACTTCGATCTTATTGAATTGTTGATCTTCACAATGTTTCATTTTAAATAAAAACAAGGTCTGCAGTAAGCTTTTCCATCTTTATGACCATGTACATGTACTTCCATCATCATCACGGGATATATCAAAATACTTCTCATTGGAAGCTGACAAATTTATTATTGCTCACTGAAACCTTCGATAATTGTTAAGGTCGGCACACACGAGGGGACTAGTCCCTGCGACTAGTCCCAGCGACCAGTTTCATGCGACTAGTCCCTTCGTGTGAACTACACATTTCTGTGGTCGCAGGGACCAAAATTTGGTCCTGCGACTGGTCGCACAAATTCGAATTCGTGCGACTAGTCGCAGGGACTTGTCGCATGAAACAAATGTTTGTCCCTTCGTGTGAACTGTTTGTGCGACCAGTCCCTGCGACTAAACGGTAAATAAGCCAATCAC